GATGGTGGCGGGCTGTGTGCTGGACTCAGGCACCCAGTGTCAGGACCAGGGCCTAGGCTCTTCTCCAGATGGCAGTCGTAGGTAGCAAACACGAGGTACATATTACACTTTGTATAAGTTTAAGAAGTCTTAGTTTTGGGGGCTGAAGAGATGGCTCAGCGGTTAAGAGCATTGCCTGCTCTTCCAAAGGTCCTGAGTTCAATTCCTAGCAACCACATGGTGGCTCACAACCATCTGTAATGGGGTCTGGTGCCCACTTCTGGCCTGTAGGCATACACATAGACAGAATATTGTATAAATAAATAAATAAATAAATATTTAAAAAAAAAAAAAAAGCTCTGGCTGTTCTTCCAGAGGACCTGGGTTCAATTCCCAGCAACCACATGGCAGCTCACAACTGTCTATAATCCCAGTTTCAGGGGATCTGACATCCTCACCTCACACAAATTGCACATAAAAATAAATAAAACTGTGAAAAAAGAATATATTAAAGAAATAGGAAATCTTAGTTTTCAAAAGGCTGAGAGGATGTGGTTCAGTGTTCCACACAGACTGACTTGATGTATCTCTATTAGGTACCTCTGAGCAGACAAAGGCAGGAGTGTCAGCGGGTTGACAGGTGCCTGGTGCTACCTAGAGCTCATACTAATTTTCCCCTTTGCTTTAAGGCATGCAGCTACAAAAGGCATTCTTGTGGCTATGGTCTGCACCTTCTTCGAGGCTTTCAACGTCCCCGTGTTCTGGCCGATCCTGGTGATGTACTTCATCATGCTTTTCTGTATCACAATGAAGAGGCAAATAAAGGTAAAGATTGCAGCACTGCTGGGCCAGGCGATGGCTCCGTGTCCCTGGGAAAGTAGCTTGGGTCTTAGTGCTGGGCATGGCCTCCTGTGTGTCATGACTGACCTGTGCTCGGCTTCTGTGAGAGCAGGTGGGCCCTTCCTCAACAGTTGCTGAGTCAGAAAGCCCTGGGTAGGGCCAGGTTGGGCTTGGACCTGTGGTACCTCAGTGGCTCTCTCAGGGTCCTGTGGTAACCTAGAGTGTTACGGCACATCCTTGGATTGGTGGTGTAGCTGCACCCTTTGTGCTCTCCTTAGCTCATTCCAGGGGCTCATGAGATGCTGTCCAAATGTTGAGATTTCAGGCAGGCCTCGAGTGGGTCGAGTCCTATGGAGCACACTGTTGGCTTCTTGACTTCAGTTGTGATAGCACGAACAGGCGAGGGGGTGCCTTTGGCTCTGCAGATCTAGGGAGAGGGTTAAGCAGGAAACTGTTCTCAAGTAACTCGTTTGTTTGTGTGTTTGTTTTCCCAGCACATGATTAAATACCGGTACATACCATTCACACACGGAAAGAGGAGATACAAAGGGAAGGAGGACGTGGGCAAGACATTTGCTAGTTAGAAGCCGGACTGAATCTGTCACGCGTGTTCAAGGACGGTTTTGAGCCATTGTAACAATGCCTTTTCTTCACATAAAGTAGTTGATTATGAGGAAGTGGAATTTTCTTTTCAAGAGGAGCTTCAATGATTTGTATCTGAAATATCAGGTTCTTGAAGAAACTGGCATTTAAACCAAATTGCATTGATTTCTTTTTCAGTGATGTTCATGTGTTTGAAGTGAACAGAATTGTAGTGAACCAGAGGCTTGGGAGGCCAGGAGAGTGGCAGACCAAGAGAGGGGGAGGGAGGATGGGAGTGTAGCCTTGCCTTCCTGACCACGCTGAGGCCGCTCCTCTGCGCCAGAGGGACATGCCAGCCTGCTTCCTACATGTGAAAAAGAATGTAACCCTTTGAGGGTGACTCCCAGCAGCTTCGTGGGGTTCTCATGCCAGTTTCTGAATCTCACTCACTAGAGATGGTTTTCAAGTTGGCCTCTATGATAATGACTCAAAACTTTGTTCTTAACTACCATGATTGCTTTTGAAGGCCTGGAATTATAAATATATATTATATTTTAATTGTTTGAGATTATTTTGACACTTTCCTTTGATACGTAACATTTTCCTTTTGATGAATTTAAACTTGTTCTCATGCAACAGCCTCTCTAAGGAGACAGCAGTAGCCAGAGCACACCAGGTGTGGGGTTTATCACATGGCCTTTTACTTCCTATGGGGAAACAGAAGCCCTCTGCATGTCGAACTTTTTGATGTGATAAAAATAATACTCTTTAAACATTTTACTAAGTGACTTTTAAATTCCAACTTTATTAAAGAAAGCGTCCCTTGCTTGTATAGTCTTCGTCTACACCACTAGTCATTCACTGAAGTACAGCTTGCTCTTCACAGCTGGATGAGGGGAACCATGATGCCAGGTCCCACCAGGGCGGAGGAAACACCACAGGGATCGGAGGGACTGGGGCTGTGACCTGTTCAGAACCCTACCCAGTCCGTCACCTGGGTTCCTTTTGTTCCTTTTAGAGCCACGCTTTGTGCTCTCAACCCATCACTTTCTAATGGTCTGCGCCTTTCTTTTCTTCCTTCCTTCCTTCCTCCCTCCCTCCCTCCCTCCCTCCCTTCCTCCCTCCCTCCCTCCCTCCCTCCCTCTCTCTTTAACTATGTGAGCACTTGGGGTTCAAATCTGGACATTTTTTGTTTATATTTTCTGCGTTGTTTTCCTCATCACTGACTAAGCTCAGGTGTAATGGAAAGTTGGGCGTACCCAACCAGAGGAATGAGTTACAGACAGGGTGCTGCAGGTCTGTAGAGCTGTGTTCCAGGTTCCCATGGGGACTCCGTCTTCCCATAGGGTCCCTAAAGTTACTCGGCAGAGGCAAGTGGATCTCTGGGAATTCGAGGCCAGCCTGGTCTACAAGAGCTAGTTCGGGGACAGGCACCAAAGCTACAGAGAAACCCTGTCTCGAAAAACCAAAAAATAAAATAAATAAAGTTACCCTGTGTATGTCTGGGTCCCGTGCTCCACCTAGAAGGATGGCTCCTGCTCTTGGTAAGGGGACCTTCACAAGGAACCTTGTGACATCAAAGACCACTGCTGGGGACTGGGCTTCTATCCGGACATCTTCACACTGTTTTATGAGGTCTTTCTAGATCTTCTGGGTTTTGGTTTTTGTTTTTTTGGGACAGGGTTTCTCTGTGTAGCCTTGGCTGTCTTGGAACTAGCTTTGTAGACCAGGTTGGCCTTGAACTCACTGAGATCCACCTGCCTCTGACTCCTGAATGCTGGGATTAAAAGTGTGCACCACCGTGCCCGGCTAGATCTTGTGTTCTTAGTGTGGCTTTTCTGTGAAATTAATTTCTCAAAGATGTGCCAGGCTGTCTGCCATGAACTCACGTTAAAAGCTTGGAAATGTCAAATGGAGGCAAGAATCAAGCTAGGGAAAAGTCAGGAGGGTGCTGGACACGTGATACTGGGAAAGCAGGTCACAGCTGTCCCCTAACTCCTCAGAGAACTGGTATCTGAGGACACATGGAAATCGGTTTGTAGGAGAAAACTCATTAAGCCAACTCTGCCAGGTCGGCAAGGTTTCAACAAGATAAGATGCTACTGCCCAGCCCAACCTGAGTTTACTCCTGAAATATATGATTAAGAAAAATCAGCTCCTGCAAGTTGTTCTCTGATCTCCATACATGTACCATGACATGTGTACACCTTCATATAATTAAAAAAAATCTGCAACCCAGGGAGCCCCCATTCCTACTCAGAAGGCCATGAGGAAGACCTCTATTTTCCTAAGGAGTTGGCAACAGTATTAATAAGCACGGGGCAGGAGTGTTAGGAGGGTGCTGACCTCGGTGAGTGTGGAGCCCACAGTGCAGGGCTTCACCCCCAGCCTCACCCTCAGCCCTGTCTCTCACACAGACCTGAATAAAATACCCTGAACTTCCGAAGCAGCTCTCAGCTGTGTGACCTAGGGAGGGAGGGGGAACCCACTACTCCAGAGGGTCAGAAGAAGCCATAATAAGTAAGGGGCAACAAACTCTCCTACCCTCTATGGAGTATTATCTGTTTGCCCCCAACCCTTTCTCTTTCCAGGTAACTATGTAGCTTAAATGACAAAGAACAGTGCATGAGGACTTTATATTTCTGTGCAGCCACAGTTCTGAGGATAAACTCTGTCAACTTCCATCCACTTCTCAGAGCTGTTTGGTGACGATATGGTCCCGGTCAACGGTAGTGCCTCAAGTAGACCAGCTTCTGCGGTGGGAACTTTTCCCTGCACAAGGGACACTCTGTCTGCGGGGTGAGGTGTGTGTCACAATGGCCGTGTACTATATATCTGGCCCTGATCCCCACTGTATCTCTTCTGTTCCACACATGCACAGCTGTGAGTCAGCCAGAAAACAGCCTCTCCCAGGGTCTGCATCTTAGGGGCATGGGACGGTGTTGATTCACCACAGCTGTGCCCACCTCCTTCCTTACCTAGGAACCCTGGATTTCTGGGGCCTCTCCTGGGCTTTTCCTTCTGACTGAGCCTCTGCCATGGCTTCCCAGCAACCCTGGGCCAAGAGCTGTGGAGGGGAGGGCTTCAGACCCCGTCAGTGAGAGACATCGGGCTGTGTGTGCTGTTCTAGTCTCCCAGCTTGGATGCACCCTGGTACTTCCTCTCAAGAGACAGGACTCTGCACATTCCACACTTAACACATGCTGGTACTTGAGCAACTATGTGGACGCCAGCCAGGGCCCTGCTGCTTACAGGAAGCAGTGGCTTGGGGCACCTGTCCTGCTGGAAACAGTTGAGTGGCACACAGGACAGCTTGGTGTGTGCTAGCATCCTAAGTGTCCTGAGCGTACCAGGAAGCAAGACAAGCCTGTGGTTAAGTGTGGCCTGATCGGTACACCTGTCACCTACCATTCACCTGCATACTCAGTCAGACCTCAGAAGGGGAGTTCCCCAAGTCAGGAGAGGGTTGGGAGGTGGGGTCGAAGGCCAGGGAGCACATACCTTAGTGTTGCACCATTCAGTAATGCACTCCCAGCAGAAGAGATGGCCACAAGGTGTCGCTGTGGAGTGTCTTCGCTCTTCCAAGCATAGGGTGCATAGTGGGGTTCTGCAAACAGCCCTGTCTTCCAGGGAACTCCTGTGGGGGTGAGGACACAGCTTAGGTAAGTGCACCATTCACAATCTCAGAGCATGCCAAAGTCCCTCCAACCCCCTGTACACCTGCGGTGGGACAGGTTACCCCATCACCTGCGGTGGGACAGGTTGCGGTGCAGCCTCCACTCCTTCCTGGCTCGCTGCTTCTGCCTGAAGGTGTATACCTGCAGCCCCATGGACAGTACCAGATGCAACAGGGAGATGAGTCCCAGCAGTCGGTAGCTTGTGCGAGCCCTCAGGTCCTCTCCAGCCAGGCGGCGAGCACGGAGCTGTTGAGACAGGTGACCCCACCCCACTGCCATCAGGATCCCCCAGGACCTGGTCTCTTGTCTGCTGGAGGTGTTATGTTCAGCCAGGCCTCCCCTTGGCACTGGGAGTGTCCAGAGAACAAGAATCAACCAGGGAGATGGGCTCAAGTATTGTTGTGAGGGAGAACCCTGGCTACAGGTTGACCTTTAGGCATTAGATGCAAACTGAGCCAGGAGGCTAGATGGGCCAGGAAAATGGGTACGGATTCTGGAGCTATTTGGGGACCATTTCAGAGGACGAGTAGGGTGGGAAACAGCAAGGGGAACCTAGACAGGCAGATGCTGTTCCCTTTACCGCGTCCTCTAGGGACACTTTGACTCCCACGGATACTGTCCTTGCCGCTGCTGTAGCTGGTGATGTAACTCCCATCCACATCACAAGAACCACAGACTTCTACTCCGTACTCCTTCCTACCGGCAGGGAGATGAGGACACCAGGGCAGCTATGCCTTGGGCTGGAGCAGAAAAACGGGATGGCAGGCCCTACAGCAAACCCAGTGTCCAACGTTCAGTAGCCATCAGGGAAGGAGGCACGGCTGCTCCATTAAATGATTGCTGGGGTGGGGGGTTTGCTGGACAACCCCTTGTCTGGCAGTACCGAGGTTATCCTGAGGCCAGACTATGGTTCTATGATGAGACTGGAGGGAGAGGTGGCAGCTCTGGTGGGTGATGGGCATGGGAGTGATACCCAACGGGAGGTTTTCCGGTTGGCAGGATACAAGGGCATTGGTAGAAAGTCAGGGTGTGAAGAGGTGGGGGTTTAGTACAGACCGTAACGAGAGATGTACTTCCTGCGGGCTACTGTAGGAATATTTGTTATATCAAGCCCTAAGACCTTGCCTTTCTGGTAGGGCTGCTATAGGCAGGGATGGACGTGCTAGAACCTGCACTTGACACCTTCTGGAATAGGTGCTCATCCCCCTAAGCAGTGAAATGGACACAGCCACAGGCCAGGAGGGAGAAAACTACTGCAGGGCTAAACCCAAGTCCACTCAGTGCCCTCTGCTGCCGCACATGCTGGTTGTAGGAAGGAAAGGATTTACTCCACTCTGTTTGTGGAAACTGTGACTGAATAAACTCAGCAACATTTGGCTGTGATCATGCCATCAACGTGGGCCCCAAAGAGGCCCCAGCCCACAATCAGTCCCCCTTGGCATTGCTACTTACATAACGGATCCCTGCTAGCCTCTTGGCCAGGTGGTAGAAGGCACCATGGATGTAAAACCAAGCAACATGGAACCGGTGGAGGCAGGCAAGGCCCTGTCTGAGGATAAAGACTGCCCGCTGGAGTGTCCTCCTCTGCTGTTCAGTCAGGGTGGCTGCATGGTGACGCACCCAGCGCCTTGCCCCTGATCGGCTGCGTCCTCCAGACAGCAGACGCGTACCATCACCATCGGCTTGCAGCTCCTGCTCCAGGGGCAGCAGCGCCTTGTCCAGCAGGTAGGGCAAGACAGCGTGCACTGCGACCAGCACTCCGCGGCGGAGCCTGGAGGGCACACGCTGCTGGGAGGGGTCCACCTGAATGATCCCAACATACTCCTCTCCAAGCGTCTGGTAGCCTGGGGATCAATGCACAATGATGAGGATCCAATGCAGGGATGTCACACCCCTCCCCCTCCGCATCATCAGTCCTGGAACCTGCCCTTCCAGCTGTCACCCGTGAGACCTAGCCAAGATCAACACGGCTTCTTACTAAACCCACTGTGGGCTTGCTGTGATTTCATGATGTGACAGATTTCCACTCTGGGATAGGTCTCTGTTTCCCTGGTCAGCTCCTGCTGTCTTCAGTCTTAATTTGTTCCCAGTTTCCCAGTCCCTCCTCTGCCTAAGCCCTACCCACCCCTTGTTCAAGAGTCTCGTGGCTGCTTCCAGGTTATGGCTCAGTCTGGATCTGGTCCAGTCCTAAGTATGAGGTGTAAGGTCAGCTGCTTTTTCTGACCAGAAAATATGCTTTGCCCCACCCCAGACTTGGTGTTTTTCCCTGAAGAGATCAACGCTTCTCAGGATGCCTTACAGTGTGGTTACTTGGTGCTTGCTGTTTCTCCCACCACCCAGAGTCCAGTCCGTGGGGGCAGGTCACCCACAGCAATCTCTCCTGGCGTCTCCGAGGTGACCTGAGGCCCCTACCAGGGCTTTTCTGTCAAGGACTATCAGCTTCTCTTCGTCCGCCTCATGCAGGTTTAATGGCCAGTATGTGAGGAGTCAGGACTGACTTGCCTTTGGCCACTGAGAAGTGGGTCCTGGGGTTGGGGATTTAGCTCAGTGGTAGAGCTTGCCTTGTCCAGTGAGCGCAAGGCCCTAGGTTGGGTCCTTAGCTCTGGGGCGGGGAAAGGTCCCAATAGCACCCTTGGGAAGGTTCTGGATGAAGTCTTCAGGGACATACAAATGCAAGGAGACCCCCTGGCTGAGGGCTAGTGCTAGGCTTGCCTCTAGAGAGAATCTAGGCAGCACCTCCTCTCTGGTCAGTGTCTTTCTTCCCTGAGGCTACAAGCAGGTGAATCCCAGGAGCTGCCCAAGGGTTGGGTGGGCCACGGGCCCGTCAGTGCCAAGGACTGGCTAAGTGCTGCTACCTGCAATTGTGGTGAGGCCAAAGTAGGCTATGTCCGAGAGTAGCTCAATCTCTTTCCTCCATTCCAGCCATTTCTTTGCACCTGAGAGGAGAAAAATGTTACCTCTGAGCAAGTGACGTGGGTTCACTGAAATCCTCTCCCCCACCCGGGTGTGTGGGGGGCGTTAAAGTCCAGGTCCCATCCCTTCTCTGCTAGGGCGATCCTCAACTACTTCTTTTTCTTCCAGGCTCCACTGCTTCCCTGCCCTGTCCTCTCTCCACCTGGTTGACACGAATGACTCCTGACTCTCTTGAGTCAGGAACTGTTCTAGGACTTAGGACGCCCCAGGAACGTCTAGGTAGTGCCAAGAACACAAGCCAGAGATCACCTGTTTAGTATCAAATCTCGGCTCTCCCAAATCCCTGCCTGGGAAATCTGCCTGGAAACCTCCACGTGCCTCCCTGTAAGAGTAATAATGTCAGGTCCAACCTGTAGGGGCGTATGAGAAATAAACGGGCAAATGTTTGAGAACACTAAGCAGGCACTGCCCGGCGCAGAGACCTGCAAAGTGTTCTGCACGAAGTCTGTTTTGATCCTCACTTTTCTAAGGAGCTTCGGAGCTGCGGCCCGTCTGGGTGCCCGGGGCGCTCACCCGCTAGGCTGTGCAGCGCGCCCCCCGCCGCGCTCCGCAGGCCTCCCAGGTAGTAATCGTCCTTCTGCGCCGCCCGGATCACCTCGGGTGCACCTGCCAGCGCCATGGCCCGAGTCGGTGAGCTCACACCGCGCCGCCGGCGCGCCTCACGGGCGGGGCCTGTGACGCTCGACGTGCGCTTCGGTCGCGCGGCGCAGACTGTGAGCATCACGCGGACGAAGGCGGGGCCTAGGCGTGACCTCCTGAGAGGCGGGGATCTAAGGGCGGAGCTACGTGGAGGCCGGGCTGTGAGCGGGGCCACGAAAGAGGGGTGGAGCCACGCGGGAGAGGGGGCGGAGCCACGTAGTGGAGTCTGGAAAGTCTTGATTCTCGGCGGGCAGGGCCCTGAGATAGCTCTGCTTCTCAGGTGTAATTTTTTTTTGGCAGGAGTTACGTGTCTCTGGGACTGTAGGAGTGGACCCTTTATGTGGTCTCCCCAGTTCGATTTTGAAGTTTCTCCGGCTGCTTCAGCTTGCGTTGGACAGCCCCAGACAGTACCTTTGACCGCTGCTGGAAGGCAGTCACGTCTCAAGCAGAGGCACAAGCTTCTCGCCAAATCAAATCTAACAGTTTGAAATGCCGGTTCTTTGAAAGCCCAAGGCTGCATGTGTCCCTAGGAAACTTTTTTTCTCTTTAAATTCAGAAGCTCGACTCTAGCATAACTATGAGGAATGGCCAGCTCCTTTTACGGGACTGCATTTCCTGGATTCTCTTCTCTCGACCACGGGGAGCAAGATCAGAAACATTCCAAGGGGGGCGCTTAAATGTCTCTCTCCATAAGCTCAAATCCTAGCCATAGACCTTGCCTCAGCCGTTGACCGGTGTCTTGACCCTCAGGTTCCTCCTTTGTAGGTTGTGGATATAAGACTCTCCTCGCCCCCTTCTCTCAAAGGTTCTTCCTAAGGGACAAACCACGGGATGACCAGCAGGTGGCGCCATCGCCCCATCCATTCTACTAGCTTGGGCAGCTAGGGATAGTACCCCAAAGAAATCCTGCACGGCCCCCCCAAAAATGGTTATGGTGTGTACTCACTCATAAGTGGATACTAGCCATAAACAAAGGACATTGAGCCTATAGTTCATGATCCTAGAGAAGCTAAGTAATAAGGTGAACCCAAAGAAAAACATATATAGAGCCACCTGGAAATTGGAAACAGACAAGATCGACTGGTAAAATCTGGGAGCTTGGGGGCTGGGGAGGAGGGGAGAAAGGAGGAGGTGAGGAGGAATGGAATAGTCGAGATGAAGGAAGGACAGAGATGAGAGCAAGGAAAGAGGTATCTTGACTGAGGGAGCCATTATGGGGCTAGCAAGAAACCTGGCTCTAGAAAAATTCCCAGGAATCCACAAGGATGATCCCAGCTAAGACCCTAAGCAATAGAGGAGAGGGTGTTTGAACTGGCCTTGCCCTGTAGTCAGATTGATGATCATCTTAAATATCGCCATAGAACCTTCGTCCAACAACAGATGGAAACAGAGACAGAGACCCACATCAGAGCACTGGACTGAGCTCCCAAGGTCCAGTTGAAGAGTGGAAGGAGTGAGAATATGAGCAAAGAGGTCAAGACCATGAGGGGTTCACCCACTCAGACAGTTTGCCTGAGCTAATGGGAGCTCACCAACTCCAGCTGGACTGGGAGTGAACGAGCAAGGGATCAAACTAGCCCCTCTGAATGTGGATGACAGTTGGGGCAGACTGAGGGGCCACCGGCAGTGGCACTGGGATTTGTCTCTACTGCCTGTACTGGCTTTTTGGGATCCTATTCTCTTTGGATGTGTACCTTGCTCAACCTAGATGTAATAGAAAGGGCCTTGGACTTTCCACAGGGCAGGGTGCCTTGCCCTCTCTTAGGATTGGAGAGGGGTGCGGTGGGAGGGTGTGTGGAGGGAGTGGAGTGGGAGGAGGGGAGGCTGTGGGAATTTGGATTGGTATTTTTTAAAGTAATGATAATAATATCCTGCACGGGCTGGGAAATAAGAGGCTCTTCAGCAAGGAGAGAAAGTGGTGGACAGGATGAATAGTGACATCATTGTAAATCAATTCTCTGAGTTCCCAGGTGACCGTCTGACCTGGAGTCTCTCTTTGCTTCTCAGTGTTCCGGGGTTCCAGGGCTCTGAGGTGGTGGCAGAGTGAGAATTCTTGCTGGGGGACAGGGCATATGCCCCTGGTCACCTCCCTTTGACCACTTTTTCCTGAAGCACAGGGGTCCTGGGCCTGAGCCTGTGACTAACTCCCTTGTAAACTTTTCCTTCTGCTCCAAAGAGGGAGGACAGGAAGGCCAGGCTCCTGAGGACTTCGGGGAAGGCACCAGAGGTGTGGGTCATCATGGTTGACAGCCCTAGCCCTGGCTGTGACTCTCCCATTCCCACCTCCTGGCCTCCTTGAGAGCCACCCCAATCTGTGAGCCTTAAAGTGTGTTTCCCTGTTATCAATTGTAGTGGGGTTCCCTGGGGACCCTGCATTGGAGCATCTCTGGGCTGGTCTTTGACTGCCCCCTTGGGGCCCTCAGTAGCCATGTGCCACCGAAAAGGGACAAGGTGTGTCCTGCACATTCCTTCATTTGGTGGGCCTCAGCTTTCTGGCCTGTGGGTCAGGAATGATGGTGGCACTGGCTGGTGTTAATTGAGAGCCCACCACGCCAGCACTGAGCACATGGATTGTCTGGGCACACACAGAGATGCAGGTGGGCGGAAGATCCGGGACAGGATGAAATTCTGCACGTCCGACACAGGAGCTTCTGGGGCAAAGGTCAGTCATCCTGGAAGCAGCGTTCACACCTTCGCCTCTCAACAACTGCTTCTGTGTTCTTCATACGCTGGGTATTTCATTGTCCTGCCTATTGGAGTATTGGCTCCGGCCACTTCGTTTTCTAATTTTATTAAATAATTAAATTTATCGTGTGTGTTATATGCATATGTGTGCGAGCATGTTTGCACACGTGTGGGTATATGTGGGGTGTGTGTGTGTGTGTGCATGTGGTGGTGTAAGGATGATCTGTGGCGTCATCCTGGATGGCTCATCCGCTTTATTCATTGGAACAGGGTCTTTCAACCAAACCCAGAACTCGCCCATATGGCTGGTCTTCTTAGCTAACTTGCTCTGGGGGTCCCCAGTGTCTGCCGTACAAGGCTGAAATTACAGGCAGTCCATCTCGCCCATCAGGTGAGCGCTGGGATCCGAGCTGTGGTCCTTATGCTGGGCCAACAAGCACTTTATCCACTGCGTTCTAGACCCAGCCCTATCGGATCACTTATACCATAGTTCTGTTGATAGGGAGGCCAGGAATAGGGTGGTCAAGGACTGGGAGGCCAGGGAACTGGGGGGGGGGGCGCTCAGCAGGTGGTGTCCCTATTGCCTCCGCTCTGTGTCCCCCCCCCACAGCCCCGGGTTATCCTTCCCAATACCACCTAGCAGGCTGATAAAAGAGATGGGAAGTCAGCGCACAGAAGCTGCCCTTTGCCTGGGTCTGTTTGGTTCCTTGGGAACTCTTGCCTCTGCCCCTAGCAGGGGTTTACTGTTTTGGTGGTTGCTGTAGACACTGAACCTGGTTTGGGGCTTGCCACGCAGCTGCCACTTGGGAAGACAGTGGCAAAGCAGGAATCAAGGAAAAGCGCAATGAGCCCATTTCTCTGCCTGATCTAGCCCTGGGGTTGTACTATTTATTGGGTCCACATCTGCTTGGAGACCTTCACTGGACTTCTGGTCACTGGACACTGGTCAGCTGCCCCCCTGGGAGCCAGATGAGGAACTAGACAATGCTTTCTCTGCAGGAGAGAAGGTTGCCCTAGTCTGATGGATTTTAGAAGGCCTACCTCACCACCTGGGGCTTGGAGCAGGGGTGAGTCCTGGGGCTCTTTAAATTTTCCATTATATGCTCGTTTTCACTGTAGAGGGGCAGAGGGACTGGTTAACAACCCGCCCAGGTGTAGCTCCTGTACAAGGACGTGACTGTTAGGGTGGGGCCCGCCCCGCCCTAGGCACGAGGCCCCTCTACACGGGATTGTAAACCTGGAAAACAGGTTCCTCCACCCAGGGCGGGCAGGCGGGAGGCTCTGTGAGCTCACCACAGCCAGCTGCCTCTGTTGCTGCAGATTGGAGCCCTGGAGGTACTGTGGGCACCAAGAAATGGTGGGGGTTTTGGAGGGAATGTGTGGCCCCAGAACCAAGCCCGGGAGGCTCTGTCTGGTAGTCAGAGGCCTCTGAGAGCCTCCCTCCCTGCTCCTGTGGGCTTGCTAGTGAGGGTAGGACCAGGAGCAGGAAAGCTAAGCCCTTCTTGGAGACCGTGTACCCTGGGAAGGGACTCTGGGTAGTTCTGGGGGCGCAGGCAGGTGACTGGGATGTTACCCTTAGCCAGAACCCAGGGTAGAAGTGGTTATGTTCCTTTGTGGGCCCCAGAGACAGGAAAATTTGAATTCTCAGTGCTGAGCCAGCGTGGGCCTCTGGGGCTTTGTGCATTCTCAGAACTTAGAGCTGAGATGGATACAGAGCCCTGGGGCTGGGGAGAGGGACACAGAGCCCTGGGGCTGGGGAGGAAGGAGCTTGGTCCTGGTGGCATTACCTCAGGTTAGAGGTTGGCATAGGACTGAACTCAAGTCTGGCTGGTCCCACTTCTCTTTATCTGCTGATGGAACGGGTGTCTAGCACTGGGCAGCAAGACTTTATCAGTGGGGTGAGGGGTCCTGACACGGTGGTCATCATTCTGAACCTCACTGGATAGCAAGGGGCTTACACAAAGGTTCCCAGGAAGCCGGGTGTCAGTGGCACACAGGACACAGAGGCAGGGGGAATCTCTGTAAGTTGGAGGCCAGCCTGGTCTACAGAGCAAGTTCCAGGACAGGCTCCAAAGACACACAGAGAAACCCTCGCTCGAAAATTTAAAAAAAAAATTAATTAAAGTTCCCAAGGAGTGGAGATCTGGAAAGGAGGGGGGCTCTGTCCATGAGGAAAATTTGGCCATGCAGGATAGAGATGATGGGCAAGTTGTGACTGAGCAGGGATACAGGCCTTTCTATCCCCCTTCCATAGAGCTGCTCACCCCAGGGCAATACCTGAAGAGTAATCACTGGCCAGTGAAGCTTGAGGGAAGCCTAGGCTGGGAGCAATGGGCCTGGAAGGTCAGCTCTTCGTGGACAGGGCTAGGGACCATA